TTCCTGCTTTCTTAGAATGCCTTCGTAATGTAACGGTCAGCACAATCGGCGCGTATTCGAGAGCTCCAGGTCCGAATCCCGACGAGGAGGAGGGTATTGCACATTTCTTCACGTTTTCAGCTTTAAAAAAAAAAAAAAAAAAATCCTAATGACTCTACAGTGGCTCCCGAACTAAAAAAGGCGGTGGATGATGATTCTCCACCATCAGGATTTGGCGATTGTGTCCCCTAATCCTCAGTCGCACTTTAAAAGTGGGAGTATGTAAGGTATTTCTCCCGCCTTCCTATCATGCCTACGTGGTGTAATGGACAGCACACTCGGCGCGTATTCGAGAGTTCCGAGGTTCGTGTCCCGGCGAGGTCATTGCTCATTTTTCATGTCTTCTGCTTCAAAATAGCCTAAGTTAGCCTAAGTTTTAATAGACTCAGCAATACATTTAAGTCAAATGTTTCTTTCTTTATTTACAGTTTAATATAAAAAGCTGTAGTTCAAATAATAATATATTATAACTTAATAACACCAAAATTTTATATATGTTTAGTCATTTTATTATAATAATGATAATAATATTGAATTCTGATTAACTAACTGGCACTTTTTATTTTTAGCTAGTTTTATTAAGCTAGTGCTTTTTATTTTAAGCTAGTTTTGCTTTGTTTAATGTGCTGCGATAAATGATCTAATCACAAATTCTGCAGACCCCGAACCATACTGCTTAATTTCGAAGAAATCTGCTCAAATCACTATCATCAGTTTTTCATTGTTCATCATTTATAAATCAAACAAAACTTCGAATTTAAAACTCCCATTCTTTTCAATACAGAAGAAATTATTTCTTGTATACAACCATTCCATGCAACTTCATAAAGAGTCAACTTATGGATGAATGTTAACAGCTTCTATTTTTGAATACAGTTCTTTTGTCATTACAAATATTATAAGTTCATCAGCGACCAACACGTAAAGACGCTGAACACTGGCTGTTCAACAAGGCTTTATATCCCGTCGAACGAGTTGACTGCATTTTTTCCTCAGCGTAACTTGGATATGAGGCAGTTTCCTTTAGAAAACCCTCCACAAAGACATTTCTTTCTTTAGGCAGATAGCTTTTGCGGGCTTTACAATATCAAGCAAACCAAAATTCATTATGAATACTAACAAACTTATTCCTTTCTGCTGTATTTCTCTGCTCGGTTTCTTCAAAATTTCGCAAACCAAAAAAAGAAAAACCAGTGTTTTTCTTCCTAAGAAGGGAATAGAAATAGGTTTTCTAGGAAATTCTGCTGAAGAGCATAGCTGCATAATGCAATGTATCAAGTTTATAGAAATACTGCAACGTTCTGGATAAAAAAGGAAGCATGAGATGGACAATTTGATCAATGAAATGAATTTAAAACAGTATGCTGCCATGAATTAAACATTAATTTTAGTAAAATAACCATCGATTGACCTGAAGGGAGTGTATCAAAAATATTAAAAATATTATGAGAATTACCAGACTGTGGAGAAGAGATACAAAATGGAAAGATGCAGTTGGCAAAATGGAGCGTATACACTAATTTGGTGCTACCAAAAGATTGCTACCAATCTTTGAACTGTAAATTAAAGTACGGTATTTGTAAATCTCAATAAATGATCTATTGTATACCAATTCATCAGTTTTAACTGAGTGATTTTTTATGAGTTTGAACCGCGTGACCTAAGAAAGACATCCAAAACAGTTCTGAAGTGCGTGACATACCTGCTGAGTTAGAAATGATGAATCACTGGATAACGTTTGACGGACTTGCTTGTCTAATATCGTAACCTCCAGATCAGTTTAAGTGACAATTCACGTGGTGGTCCCGCAATATTCATCTTTATCTTCAGGAGTTCGCGAGTATCCCCATACTAATATTGTATGATTTAATGTAAAAACCATGATTTCTCTAAAGTTCAAGTCACTGTGCAAAGGTAGATCTTGCCTATGAAACATTTCATATGTCGAAATAATATACGATTAAGGAATTACCTTTAACTTCAAAAATATTTGTAAATGTTCTCAGAAGATTGGGGGAAATAATAAGGAAAACCTCTAAAGCAACATCAGCGTGTAATAAAAGCAAAAGTTTTAATAATATACATAGTTACTATAAATGATTCATTAGATTTCAAAATGTTATATTTCGTAAAGTATTGCTAGTAAAAAAAATTACTCTTACATAAATGTAGGAGGAAAACTTTCAAATTTTACTAACTGAAAATGCTCGATGTGTACTTTTTTTGTTACATGACATATATTCATGTTATATTACGATTCTACGTACACACATTTTCAATATTACTCCGATAAAGTCGCTAAACCACTGGAACTTTTCTAATGTAACTGGAAGTAAGGTCATATTGTATTTAGTATACCCTCTTCCAAGGGGAAACATACTTTGAGCGTAAAGATCAGGAGACCTCGATCCCCATCTAAACAGTGATAAATTATCTTCCCCGTATCGACTAATCCAGTGATGTGGGAGTTCGTCATTGCTATAATGAACCATTTGTTTGGTTATAAACTCATCTCAGGATGGTCACTTGTTAGAGTTCATCATTGCTATAATGAACCATTTGTTTGGTTATAAACTCATCTCAGGATGGTCACTTATTAATCCGTATCCTATATCTTGGCTGCTGGTCTGGCTCATAAATGCAAGGTCTCTTCCGATTTCCCTTCTTGCTCGCGCAATATCTTAGATCGACGTCGACTTTCTATAGCAGTGATGGTGGCAAACCTTTTGGGGGCCGCGTGCCCAAAATGGAATGGCCGCGTGCCATTCCGTTTAAGATATTAAATAAGAATTATTCATAAGTTACCTAAAAATGCTTAGATCTTAAAACTGGAATTAGTTTAACAATGAAAGTATTAAAACTCACCGGCAGTCGGCAATAAACTTGAATTCGTTTAGCAAACATTAGCTGCTTCAACTTTGGCGTATTTTTTTCCATGCAACAAGTAATATGATTGGCCCAAACAATTGAAACATCATAAATTGAGCCAATAAATATGTATATCATTTCTACGGCGATATATGAAAATCTTATATCTAGGCTTAGGCCCTATTCCAGTGGCATTATGCGATAAGTAAGTAAGTCAAACGTTCAAGAAAAGACTAAAATACTTATTTAAATTACATAGTATCATTTTATTGTGCTTATTGATTAAAGAAGTAATATTTTAGTCGCGTGCCGGCTGATGAGGTTCTGCGTGCCGACTGTAGCACGCGTGCCATAGGTTCACCATCACTGTTGTATATGATCTGTCTATTTCTGTATTTTCCTCTAGGAAACTGACTGACTTATTAAGTGGTTCTCGAGATTTGCCCTTCAACTCCTGAATGAAATGACCTTTCGCGAGTGGTTCTTTTCTCGTGTTGTTAACACCACAATGACCATTGATCAAGAAAACTTAGAATCTATTCAAAATTCATGATATAACTCTTCAAAACTGGTTCTGGCCTTTTATTCGGTTTCAAATTTTTAAAATTAAGTCCTTTGGTGTTGTTACCTTTTTTTCACTGTGGAAGGTAGTTTATCATTTGTTATATTGACAATTCGACACTAAATTTACTTCTTAACGGAACCCTCTTTTCGATGATAATAATCAATCTTTTATGATGTAGGGATAAAGGCATTGAGCCTAAGTACTTCATTATTGAACCCTTCTTTGGTCTCTTGAATGGCTGATCGCAGAATTTACTGCCAATCAGGAAAGCCATTTCTTGTTGGAATAGAAAATTTTCCAAACCGTCTTTCATTCGGGGAAAAATGTCGCAATTGTAATATGCCCATTATAATCCTCTCAAAGAGGGAGGGGAGTCTTTAATAAATAGTAACGAACGCAAAAAATAGTTTAAATAGAATAATTTTGATCTTTCTCTGTGAAATGGTGCAAAAGACGAGGTCAACACGTCGACGGGCGGCAAAATTTGGGAGGCCTGGATGGCAAAATGCTGACTCTTGGCCCTGGTTTTGATAGATTCCTTTTTTATTAACTGGGTCTACTTAAACTGAGGGGCATATTATCGATCGTTTTAATTTATCTCTCAGTTTGAAATTCTGAGAAGTTCCGTAAATTTTTCTGCATAGCAATATCGTATAACTGAGTTCACTGCCTTAAAAGCGATGCTTTGATAAATTTGGCACCGAACTTCAATGAAACTGCAATCAACGATAACGTTTTGAGTGTTTGTGCTAATTATTACACTTATATTGTTACTAGTTGGAGACTTTTTGCATCGGTTGTTGTAACGGAATAATCGCTGCATGCAAGAAATTATCACATTCTACTCCCTGTTCTTGTGTTACATGTAGTTAGCTCCTCCAGCTAGAAAATTGAAAAATCTGTGTTTCGAATCCCGGCGAGGGCATATTTAATGTCTAATGGTATATACGGTAACTTCCGAATTAACAATAAGAGGTGGGCGAAAAATTGGCGTCATTTTCATCTCATCAACTGGTTTCAATGTCCTACCCAGTAAATTTAAGTGAAGGAAAATATAAAGAATTATCTCATTACCTATATTGCTTAGTTTTGTATTTAAGTGGAACACGTTCAGCTGGCCATTAAAGATCCATGGTTTGAATTCTGCTAAGGCATAACATGTTTTTTACATTTTCATCTCCGTAAAACCCTTACCAACATATTCTCATCAGCTCGGATTTTTTTGTGTTGATCGTTGTAATGGACTTTTTGCTATAATAAACAGTCGTTGTAACGAACACCATTGTAATCAGTACAATTAAACAGATAGGTCATAAAATTAAAAGCATATATTTTTTATGCTGTTTGTGCCCCTCTACTGAAAAACACTCTTACCTGATATTCATACATTTATTTTATTAAAGCATACTCCAATGCAAATTGTTTCAGGAATGTACAGTAAATTAACTTCATGAATTTATGTGAACGAAAATTCCCGTTAATTCTCTTAATATGTGCAAAAGCTATTTATTCATGACAGACTACTAACCTCGACTGTGCCGCAGTCACACTCTTCTGGTTCTTCTGTAATCCTGTTGCCACAAACAGACATTCTCTGCACAGGGAGTAAAACTAATGAAAAAAGAGCAACAGAAGTAATATTTTTAAAAGAAAATTGGTATTAATATTAATTACTGTGTAGGAAATGAAATTCAGCCAAAACTATTTAAAGTATTTAATTTTGAATATGTAACAGAAGAGTACATTAATTTATGCCGACAAAAAGCTCCTTGATCTTCAAAGAAGCGCATAAAGTCATAGCAAATTTTTTTTAAACCTGAAATAGCAATAAAAGATATAAAACTATTAATAAATACATAGACATTGTAAATAGAAATAACGTTTGTTTAAGTGAGCCTTCATTTTCTAAAACCGAAAACATAGCGAGCTGCCTGAAAGCCGTGACCATCGTGGTGGCCTTAAGAGCTGTTCATCCTAGGGTTTTATGTGAACTAACGGAGACATCTGGCACAGCCGACACAGTTCCAAAACAGTTTTTCCCCATAGCAGAGCTGGTTGAAAAATCTGACCTTCACCGTATACCTGTCTCAGATACCTACCTCCACGTATCGTCATGTCACATATAGCTGGCTTATGTCAATCAATGAGAATCACATATAGCTGGCTCATGTCAATCAATGGGAATCACATATAGCTGGCTCATGTCAATCAATGGGAATCACATATAGCTGGCTCACGTCAATCAATATCAATGTGAATGGCTCTTTATGGTGCATTGAACCGTCGAAATATGGGGTATAGGTATTAGACTGTTAGATGACTTGTACTATTTTGTATTTTAATTCATTTTATTTTACTTGCTTAACAACTTATTCAATCAGCAAAAATATATACGTGTATTAAGAAGGTTTATTAAAAGAATGTTTTGTTATTTACACGAGTGATGTTTTATTTAAGAGCCAAACTTACTTTCAGCAATAAATAAATACTTTAGAATATGTTTATTAGTCTCTAGAATGCGTGGTACGCTGGTAGCGTAATAGTTTATTTTGACACGTAAGCGAAAATTACGATCCGCTGCATAGGATAGAGAGAGAGAGAAACCCCAATATTTAACATTTATTATTTAAAATTAGGGAAAAACAACAGAAACACCACAAAAAACATTTTAAGATATCATGACAAAACAAAGAAAAAAATGATATGCGCTATCTGTAGTGAAAAACCGGTATTGACGGGTGAAAAAAACTAAGACATTTTTAAAAAGAGAACAATTGGACTGGAATTAATAATATTAACTAAAGGAAGCAGTCTTTTTGCTTAATTTTTTAAATTCTACAACAACGTGTTTCTCATTAAATTAGATAATGTATTACCTCATTGTATGCATCAGATTACTGCATCTACAGTTTCTATGCTGTGTTGCCAAATCATGCAATTTTTCGAAAATTTGCTACTTTTTTCAAACCTGTGCTATGAAAAAGTATATTTGAAATTTTGCGAATTTTTGGATACGCCGTAAATTTCTCAATGTAACTTTCAAAATCTTTTTTATTTACTTTACAACTTATAAATTTTAAAAAAATGTATCTAATAATAAATTATGAAAAGGAATATTTTATTTAAGCTTAAGTAAAAGCTGGCAACTGGCAATTGGGTAGTGGCAGTGTATGAACGCATGGCACACACAATTTTCAGATCTTGTCGCTTACGTTTTAACGTGTTTGACTGTCTGCTTTGTTTAATATCCGAAAAGGTATGCGTCCTCGTTATTTATATCTTTTTATTTATTTATTTTATTTTTTTTTTTTTTTTTTGGAAAGACGATTTAAAACTTTTGCTTTGAACTCAAGAACAAAGGTCGGCTGGTATAACTTATTAAGATGGGCCGATTTCGAAAAAATAATAATAATAGGAAGAAAATACTGCAAAAGGGAATGTAATACAAAATTACGCACCTTAATACTAATATTGGGATTTTATTGTTCTGTAAGTTTTATTTTCAGTTTCCCCTTCCCCAATTGTAAGGTGATAACGAATTGGTTTGTAGTTAGAGCTTCATATGTTGGATACTCAAAGAAAGTGAGAAATGAAAGTTATCTCCTGAATTATTGACAAATGAAACATTTGAAAAAATAAAGTTCACTAATTTGTAAGAGTAACACGAACAAATTTAACAGAAACAACGCAGGTTTTATTAATAATCAGAATCTAATGAATTCAATAATCGGAATGAAAAGTTAACTGAAAGTATTAGAGATTAAAAATACAATGAACACACACAAGCAAACATATATACATAAAAGAAATTCCAACCTCAGATAAATAAAGTACTACAGCGTTTACAATGCAAAGGTAAGAAGGCGTGTAACGAGCGATGTGAACAAATTGAGTTAAAAAAAAAAAAATCTGAAAGTTTTCAGACTTTAATGTTGCGCCTAAAGAGGCGTTGCCATTTACATACGCATACTTGTTTCAAGAGCATTTGGGCTAAAAATATTTAAAAACAGCCCATCTTTAGAATTTCCGATAGACAGTCTCCTCTAGCACCCGTACGGTGTTGCCATTGCCCGCTTTGAAATCGTTGAGTTTGTAAATCAAAAATTCGTTAAAGTTTTACAAAATCTGAAATACACAATAAAATAAATTCGAAATTCAAAATTCGAGCTTCTAGCTATCTATATTCGGCTGGAGGACTACGTTATTCAAAATTTGATGACTGTAGGTACCGTTGTTTTTACACACTTCGAAAAACATGCATACATTCACGCAAATTTTCATTACTTAATTTCTTGAAATATAATACCGGGCGATAATATCTGGTGGCAACATTTTGAAAAGTGATTCAGACCTTATAGTGATTTAACGTAAATCCCCGCCTTGAGACTAATAACGCTTCTGGACTAATGCTCCTTTGAGCTAATAAAAACTTAAATTAGCTGAGAATTAACGAAAGAAAGAAATATAGGTTTAAATAATCGGAAGTTAGCAACATGGTTTAAAGGTTTTCCTCTGACCAAGTAAACGATATCAATTGACCAAGTATTGAATTACAGGCCGTAGCTTGCAGAATTAACAGGGACTACGATGAGGTCAGATGATCCTGTGAGCTCACGAACTCATGGCGTCACGAAAAAGCACCTGATCTCTTACGGTATATTACTATTTTTTGCAACTTTTCGATACTTTCGGTACTAATATAATTCAAAATTTTCTGGTAACTTTGTTTTTGGCCCAATGTCTAAAGTCGAAATTTGCTTACCTTTGATTAATGGGAAAGCTTTAAAGATACTACGTTTAGCTGCTAGTTCTTTGCAAGCCAGTAAAACTTGCCTTAAAAAACAAGTACTATGATATACAATTATCAGGCTGACATTTCGTGAAGTTATTGCATAAAACAAACACAAAAATCATACTTTTGCTTTTTACTTTTCTTTATAAAATGAAATTTATCTTCAGATTCTTTTCAATAACTGTAACAAGCATTAACTTAGGTCATCTGTGAAAAAAGAATTTCATAAAACGGAGGCCACGTGTTGTCACTAGCTGTGAAACTTTTATGAACATTTTAAATCTTTCTCTTATGGATAGATGGCAGCACAAGCTCACTTTTAATTCCTCGAATTCTTTCACTGTTTAAGTTCTGCCTATTCTTATCTAGAAAGCAGGTCTAGAGATTAAATTAAGGAAAGTAATTAGCTTGAGTTTTGTAAAATATGAAACCATTTCTCTCTCTTGTAAATACTATGTAAATTTTAAATAAATAATTAATTTAAAAAAATTGGAATTATTTTGATTGTGCCAGTTATATACATAAGTTTGAAGGTATTGTGAGAAAAATATTGAGAGAATTGTGAGAAATATCTTGCGAAATCGAAAGTAGAAACAGATCGTTTTCAGTATTAACATTATGGCCGACTCACTGATTCATAGATGAAATAAGGTGAGAATAAACCGGGAGTAACTGGGATAAGAAAAGGATAAGTTTATTTTCTCTTTACTTGTTACTAAGTTCAGTCTTGTTCCAATACCTGTATTGTTTTATACTCTGTTATTGTTTATCGCATTTTAAAACACTGTAGTTATTCCTCAGAAATGTTTACAGGAAAATATAAACAGAAAAATCTTCTAAATATAAAACACAATTTTTATTGATATGATGACTCATATTTTTTTCAGTATGCTGTGGGAAACAATTAATTCAAAAAAAAAAAAAAAAAAAAAAAAAAAAAAAAAAAAAAAAAAAGATAGGATAAATTAAAGTTTTTAATTTAATTGGAATTTTTCTGATTTTACATAAAATTTGAAATCTATATTTACAGTCATTATTTTGATTTCTTATTTCTAGTTTCATTTTTGTTGAACGCTTCAGTGCTGTTTCTGTTAATTAAAACTTTGATATATATTCGGGTCTATCAGACTTGCTTCCACCGCAGAACTTACAAGTTAGATTAAAATACACAAAGTTAGTTTATTTTTTCCGCAAAAAGTAATCTGATGCTTAGAGAATTAGGGTTAGAAGCTGTAATAAGTCTTAAAGGACATTAAAATGCATTTCCGCTAATTTGACGAAGTTTTTCTTGCTTATAACATTTTTGAAGTATAATGGTTTCAGAAAATTGAATGAAGGAACTTCATGCGATGTTTGTGAATGTGATGTTTGTGAAGCCCGGCTCCGGTACTTCTTTTGTTTTTGAGATAAATTCTAATTCCAAGCGGAGCCACCGGAGCCATAAATAAGACTTCGGCACTTCTTTTATGTAAGTGAACAACAAATTTCAGTAGAAATTGGATCTCCAAAATTTAATTTTAGCATATAATTATATTAAAAATCGCTTGTTAAATTTTAATTATTTAATTACTATATCCTTTAATTACTTAATTATTTTAACAAATAATAATAAGTAAGTAATAATTATCTTAATTAAAAATTAATTTTAAATCATTAAATATTAATTATTAATTTGATAATCATTAACTATTTATTTTTCAAACTATTAATGATTTTAATAGTCGTTTTATTTATTTATTTACGCTTGTTTCTCTTTCCTGATGGTCTTCCATAGGGCTCCGGCACTTCTGCTTCTAGAAATTAAGCCCTGAATACAGCACAGGAACAGTTACAAAGAAAGGACACATCAGAACAGAAAATACACTAAAACGAAACACCTAACATTTAGAATTAATATTTAAAATTAAAAGTTAGAAATTACGGAGACATATAATAATAAAGAACTAAGCTGTAGGTCGACTGACTGCAAGTCGCTTTCTTCGCCACTAGAGGGCATTCGATAAAACAGTTCGGTTATAGTCAAATAGTTCTGTTACAGGCATAGTTAATTTTCTACATAAAGGCAGACAATGTTTTACGGTAGAAACATCGAAAATGTCGTTTTCTACCAACACGGTTCTGAGAGAGGCGATTACGATCATGATTCCGCTGTGAGTGCTTTAAAGGGTTTCATAGGAATAACTGTGAAAGGTTTTCTATAAATTTTATTCAAATTGATATGTGATTACTAACTAAATTTCTGTTTCAGTTTAGTGATGAGTAATTAATTTATGAAAACTGTATAAGAATAACATAATTTTAATTTTGTATATTTGCTAATCACTCAAAAATAAAAAATAAAGTTATTTGATTAAGACAAGTATATTTTTATTTGAATCAAATTTACTTGGTTATTTTCAACTTCCAACAATAAATTTAATCAATGTTAAAATAATTTCAGTAATTTAATACATAAAGGTAGTTACTTAAATATAACAACGGTACTTAATTTCGATTTAATTATTGTTAATTTACATTTGTATGACTATTGCCCAAATATTTATTGCTGATAATTAATTTCTCCTATTTTCAATACATAATTACTATTGATAACCAAGTAACCTACCATAAACCAAAGGGAAGTAGGCCTATTTAAGAACTTTGCACCTAAGCTACAAAAATTTAATAAAACATAAAAATCAAATTAATGAAATTGGAGTACTCCTATCAAAAATGCCATTTAAGTAAAAACTAAGAATTAAAATTTGATGTCTATATTAATTCCAATCAACAAAGTCATAATAAGAAAATAAAGAAATCAAAAATTAAAAAACAAATCAAAATCAAAATTTTTCTTTTAAGCACTAGCTAATAGTTGGGGGAAAGCAAATCAAATGAGATGCAAAAATTATTGCAAATTAAATGAAAATTTTAGCAATATTACAGAAAAAGGAACACTTGACAGCGAAATAATGCTGACTGATTAAGGGGAATTGGCTTATTTCATTCTCTTTCCCACTGCTCAAAGATGGTGTTTTGTCTCTGTCATGTACATGTAATTTAAAATTTTAGAAAATATTTATGCATAAATTTTCAATGCTTCAAATTTAGCTAACCCATATGCATGCCAAGAATTCCCTCTCAAATCAATTTAAAACATTCATTTAAAGATATAAAGAACGTTAGAACAATATACAAGTTTTAAATCAATGATGAGATCAAAACATGTAAAAAAAATATGTGAATAAAACATGTAAATGAAACGTAAACAAAAGGAGAATACTCTGTATTGCAAAAATACTACAAAATACTCGTATTCAATGAAATGAAACTGTCATATTTAAAATAATAATTTTCTACTTAATATATATTTTAAAAATTACAAGGATTACTAATAATACTTTCAAATTTAATAAAATCTAGGCACAAGCAAATGTGTAAATGTTAAATGTAACACAAGTGTATTACATAGTAAAAGCTGGAAGGTCAGTGGAAGTTTCAATGGTATTTTATGCAAATAATGCATAAATAAAGACACGTTTTTGATCCCGCAGATGTTGATGTTTGCTTTCAAATTAAATGTAATTTTATTTAACAATATGCTTGGTAGTCTTTCCGTATGCTGAATGGTGGTCGTGATAAGTCTTTATGTCACGTTGTGGACATTTCCTTGGCTTCCTTTTTGTGACGTCAAGCTTACTTTATCTATTCTAACCTCGTTGGATATTAGTCTGGAAACCGTATTTTGCGTTCAATCACTATAAACGGCGTATCACTTTTTAAATTGTTGCCGCCAACTATTATCGCCCTGTATTATATTTTAAGAAATCCCGAATTTTGAATTTCGAATTTGTTTTATTATCTGTTTCATATTTTGTAAAGCTTTAACAAGTTTTTTTATTAAAAAACTCAACGATTTCAAAGCGAGCAGTGGCAACACTGCACGGAATAAAACATTTTATTTCCAGCGAGCGAGACTGTCTATCGGAAAATTATCGCCCTGTATTATATTTTAAGAAATCCCGAATTTTGAATTTCGAATTTGTTTTATTATCTGTTTCATATTTTGTAAAGCTTTAACGAGTTTTTTTATTAAAAAACTCAACGATTTCAAAGCGAGCAGTGGCAACACTGCACGGAATAAAACATTTTATTTCCAGCGAGCGAGACTGTCTATCGGAAATTCTAAAGATATACAGTTTTTAACTATTTTATACTTTTGCTGTTCCTACTTTTGCGGTTGAATCAAATTTTATGTGGCGTAAGCGCTAAGAACAGGATATTTCAGAAATAAAGTAAACACACACTACGTTAATAATAAAAAGACAAAAACAAATTTGTAAAGAAATTGAACATTGATATGATGAACTGAAAAAAGACAAAAAAAAAAAAAAAAAAAAAAAAAAAAAAACAGAAAAATATATGCCAATATTTAATGTATGCCAACAGAGCATCAGGAATTTTAAACGTATACTGCTATTAAAATTTCGTAATTTTGCTGTTGAATTGTATGCGGCGCAAGTGCTTAATAATAAAGCTAAAAAGCCCCCAAACAAGGATTAGTAGTGGTAAGCGTAATAGCTGAATGGTAAACTGCGAGCTCAGTGAGAGTGTAAAAAACCTCAACAAAACCTTTTGAGCGACCTTTAAAATCTTTCAGAATTTTTTTTAACAAACCATTAAAATGCAAAGCATAAAAAATCGTAACATAACTATTTCAAAATGCATAGAGAAAATAAAAATAACTGTTATTAAATTATTCCTGAAACTACTTTACCATTGTTGGCATATTAAACAGACAAGCACCATAACCTTTACTGAGAGTCTGGTAAAATTCTCCAACACTGCAGTTTGAAAAGAATGCAGAGCTTAGCAATCTGAAAAATTAATATTTAAAAAGAACATAATTTAAATTTCACATATAATAAAATAAATTTCCTTTCATCTAGTGGTTTTATTATTAATTTGAATAAATATAATAAAGATAGAAATTTAAAAAGTAAAAAAAATAATTACAAAATTTTTGATCTTTTGAATAAAAATATTCTTTCTTTTAGCTAATTAAAATGTAATAAAGATTATAAATATAATAAAGATAGATATTTAAAAAAGTTAAAATATAATAAATTAAAATTTTTGACTTTTGAATACAATCTTCTTTCTTTTATGTAATTAAAATATAGATAAAATCAAAATTTTGCTTCTGTGGACCTTTTTTGAACGAGATACATGGTCTGAAGCATTTAATTCAAATAAAGGTGTTTTAAATATTTATTTGTTTAGGATAAATAGACGCTTTATATTCACTGTTTATTACACCATGATTAAAAAAATAGATTCTACTAATTAATAATAATAATTGCAACTGTACGAATACTTTTAAAAATTTTATTAGGTATTTTAGTTCTTTCAAATGTAATGTTACTACTATAATTATGTTCACGTATTCTTTTTCATTTTATAGTACTTTTTAAGGTATATGCATTTTTAAATTCTGATATTTTTAGAGCAGCAAAATGGACAATTATGAGTAACTATTTAAGCAACTACTTATTCAAAAAAGTACAGAAGGTTATGAACACATGTTTAGAACGATTTTGATAAATAATTAAAAAATAATTATTTTGAAATTAACGTTTCTTGCAACAACCTATTATTTGAAATGAGACATATCGTCTGCTATATTTATTTATTTTTTTCTATTTTCGTGCATGTAAACAAGCTGTGAATTGAAGGATATTTTTTTGCGCTTTTCGAAGGGAAAAATTTCTATCTCATAGTTTAAAAACATTGTGAAATACATGGTGTTAAAGTAAAAAATAAGCAATAATTGGAAAAGAAAAGCTGTCAATTTTTAATTCTACGTGGAAAGAAGATTCGAAACGAATACCCGGAAAAGGTAGATACTGTTTCTGATATTTTTAAAGACAAATCATTGGTAACAACAGGAAAACGAAGCGGAAATCAATTGCAAAGTCCTTAAATACGTTTGTAGCAACAGTAATTGAAATAATAACCAAGACTTACAAGTTAAAAAAGCTAAACAACATAATGTTCATCAGCTTTTTGCCGAGGCATGTGGTTCAAGGGAGAGTACTTTGTATGAAAACTTATTTAGCAGGAGAAAAGTCGGAATATATTGTGACCTTTAATGAAGCATGGGTTTATCTAAATGACTGTTATAAATAAAAGGTCTGTTGCGTGCGTACGGGTTCGTTAAGAAATGAATGCACAAGTCCGATTAAAAAAATGAACAAAAATTTATTATTATCTCAACAAATATGCTTAATTTCCTAAAATATTCGTGCAGTATTACAATATCTCACACTAGTTATCTTTTAACTACTGAAACGTTCAAAAGAACTTAATTCAAAACAGCTAAAGAAAGCTAATCCGCGAATTCGCTTCAGTCAACAAGAGCAGTTTTCTAAACAAACTCTTAAAACAACAACAAACTAAGTAACTACAACGAACTGAAGAGGTTTTCCTCTTTTTATAAGATTTTAAAATCACGCACGCGAGAATTTTCTAGTATTTTCTCGAAATCAAAAAGAGATATTTATTAAATGTTACATGCACGCATTCTAGTATTTTCAATTTTCCGGCTTAGCTTTCTTTTAATATGTTCGTCATTCGCTGCACTGGCGCGGGAAGTAAAACCATTTAATTTACAATTCAACTAACATAAGCTATTTAAATACCAAATCCGTAGCAGATCTATTGATTATAGATAACGAAGATAAAATATATATAAATTTGGTTCCGTCAATGCAAAGAATGTTTCAGTAAGGGGTTTATGACTGTCTCAGAATTCTCTTACAATGGAGAATTAAAAATAAGAAGAGTAGAAAAAGTGCTAAAATCAACTTAACGTAACGAGAAGAGAAAATTTTATGTTTGATATTTGCAGAAGACAGTTAAACCTTCAAAGTGTGAAATTTCATCATTAAAAAGCAACAAGTCATACTTCGCAAAGTACCACTGCATTCCTCGAAAAAATTAAGATTGATACAGGTATTGCATACATATTTTTGAACGTATTCCTGCGAAGTCCTCTGACGTTTTACCGATTGTGCCTTTGCGTCTTGAAAAGACCTTTTTCTAAGCGCAAATCCAGCCTAATCGGCCTCTGGAAAGAAGTGGAAGAGGAATGGAAATCATAACCCCCTGGAAATTTTATGAAAAGCCCTTTTATCGGGAAAATTACTATGCGGATTTCCAGTACAGTAAAAAGGCTATTAGATCGAGCATCTAAAATACATTCTTTACAACTTAAATACTAATTAAACGGCACGAAATCGTTCTAAAAATGTGTAAACACCACCTCTAGCACTTCGAATAAAAGTAGAGTATTATCTGTGTAGATTTACACATGCATAATTTATGGAAAAGTTTACTTTTTTCTATCGAACATTTTGTATTGGTAAAAATGTTGTATAAAATAGTGGTTTCAAACTGGCACATGCGGTCTCCAAAGCAATTTTATGCGGCCCGGGAAGGCATTTTAACTACGTATTTGTGGCAAATACAATGTCGCAAAGATTTCAAGTCTTCAGTTATTTGAAATTTGAGTTTAGGTTACTTTCATTTTCATTAAAAACGAGTATGAATAAAACTCTAAAAAATATATCAATGAAATTAATTTTATAACTTCATATAAATATTATTCAAAGATTTCAAGATAGAGATTCCATTCATTTTATTCGTATTTGTCAAAAATTAAATTAGATCAGTTATAAATTTTCGCACTAAGAATAATCGTTTGTTTAGGAATATACTTATATGAAAATAGCTTTTTTTCACATTTGAAAATTGGTCAGAAAAGAGTTCGGTTCACAGAGGAGATCGAATCTGCGATGAAAATAATTTCAAAGGCAGCAAACTTTATCACAAGTTATATGCCATTAAATGCCAACTGTAGCAAGAACTAAAGAATTTTGTAATTATTTACTTATATGTTTTTTTATTAAGGCACGGAAGAAAATTTCTAAAAATAAGAAAAAGAAACTAGGTTATCATTATCTACTCATAAGTTTGGTCCCACTTAGAAAAATTTCTAAGAACACTTAGAAAATTTTCATAATTGTTTCTTTTTAAATTTAAATTGAAAGAAATTATTTAAGGATTAATTAAACATGTTAGAGTTATTTGAAGGGAATGTCAATCTGAAAATTTAATATTTAGCTATCAGTATACTTGAGTTACAAAGTCTAACCAACAAAAATCTCTTACCAAACTTTAAATTCCAGGTAGAAAATAAATATGAAGTTGAGTTTTCCCCTTTATGATATTATTATTATTGTTTATGTTATGTTTTAACAAATATTAATAATTCAGAGGTCAAACAACAAAAATCAGCGTTAATTTACAAAATTTTCACAGGACTAGTTTCGATGGTTTTACCGAACCATCATCTTCAGCTGCAAAACCGCAAATGAACAAGATAGGAAATAATGTTTAGATAAGATAAGAAAGCCTGGACAAGAATAAGCAAGTGGCGCACTGGCACAAATTAAACCGCACTGGCAAGGAATCCTATAAATACCCCAGGAATTCATATCCGGAATGGGGTCCTTGAGTATAGAAGTTGGAATTTTATTGATGGGAGAGTAAACAACCCGAAAGTTAAATTTCTGCAAAATATGTGCAACTTTATAGCTAATTGATGGAAAGAAGGGAATGACAACAGAATTTTTATAATCTCCTAAAATAAGAGTGTGGCTTTTAGTGTGTTGAGATGAGAATTTTTTAACTGCTTGATTAATAATGTTGGGTGAAAAGCCCCTAATTTACATTGGCCAAACTAAGAGAGCCTTAAAACTTCGCGTCAAAGAACATGAGGCATATGTTAGAAAAAAGGAAACACAGAAGTCTTCTGTTGCTCAACATTGTTGGTCCGAAAATCACACTTTCAATTTTCTGCTGCCAAAATTATTCAAAAAGCATCTTCCATTGGAGAACTGGATTTTCTAGAGGCATTTCACATTCATAAAAATCTTTCTGTTCTAGTTAACGATCTAATTCCAATCCAAATTGCCTTCGGCTTTTAGAGAAATTATGTTTTAGTTCTGGTTTCGCCAACAGATGGTGCCACTTGCTTATTCTTGTCCAGGCTTTCTTATCTTATCTAAACATATTTCCTATCTTGTTCATTTGCGGTTTGTGGTTTTGCAGCTGAAGATGATGGTTCGGTAAAAACATCGAAAACTAGTCCTGTGAAAATTTTGTAAATTAACGCTGATTTTTGTTGTTTGACTTCTGAATTAGTATTTATTCGGCGTGTTATTGTGTCTTAAATATTAATAAGCTAAATGAAAAATTTATTTCAAATATCTTTTAGTTTCTTAATATATTTTTTTCTTTGTAAAAATCTGTGCTATATACTATATATAATCTGGTCAGTTGTTTCTGATCGTGCATGCGGCTCTCAAGTAATTTGAATTTGAGATCACTGATATAGAGTATATTTTTTATCTTGCAAAAAATATGCTAGAAGATACTTCAGCAAAGTAATATTCCTAAAATTTTAATAACATGTATAATACATTTTTATGCTTATAAGAAGTTTTCTGGCAAACGGTGAATTGCTCGAGTAACAACAATAAAAATTACTTATGTTATTATATAACTTATTTCCTAAATTTTAATCACTGATGACTTTAAATGTTGATTCAGGCGTAATTAATACAAGAGTTTCCTAAGTATTTTACGCGTACCTAGCACTTCCTGATGATTGTCACGTCATTCAAAGTGGCGGTATTTTCGGTGATATCATTGGAAAAAGGGCGTGGCTTATGATATCACTTTTCCTTTCTTCAGGTAGTGCTCTTGTTATTAGGATACCGTGTACGGGTAGAATGAAAAAGAGCTTCTAAATTTCCTCCTCTCTCTTTTTCTTTCTCCCCGCTTTTTTTTATGTAGCATGGTATTTTAGACAGCGAAAACTGGGAGCAGAATAGAAAATTTAGCTAAAAAAATTTATAAGGTATTTCTCCCGCCTTCTTGACATGCCTTCGTGGTGTGGTGGTCTCCACGCTGGGCGCGTATTCCAGAGGTCTGTGGTTCGATTCCCGACGAAGGCGTTGCATATTTTTCATCTTTCCTGTTTCCAAAAATTACCTAATGTCTCTACAAATTAAATATTAACAAGCGGCACAACACGTAAGAAAATTTAAGATGACCTTAACTAGTATGCGCTAATAGTTCCATTTTTTTAGGGTTCAGAGAGTATTTTATGATCAGTTAAAACTCATAAGCATTCAAATGTCATTCAAGAGACAAAATATATAAAAATGGTTTGAATATAAGTTTTAATAGAAAAATCTAAAGAATGAAGAGTAAAATTGCTTCTTATTTTTATATATTTGCATTTCATACATACTTAAAATGCTTACTTTTGATTAAATTTACAAGTTCAGTACATAATCGTCCTTAAATAATTTTAATCAGGGTATATAAATAAATTTTACTGTTAATTGGCAGTTTCTTAAATAAATTATTAAATTATTATCGTGTGAAACGAACAATTACTGTTACCTTATTCAGTTTAATTATATATTAATTATTCAACGTTATTTTCGAAAACGCTAAAAACTAATAATATTAAGCAAACATTTCACTCAGAAATACACAATACAGAATAATTTTCAGTAATTGCATTAATATTTTAGATATTAACACATTTTCTGCAAATAAAATGTAAGAAAATATTATTAAGAAGTACATGTATTGTTTTTAAATGGATCAATTCGTTATGCAGATAAATAATGCAATTCTACAGTTTATTTTCTAAATTAAAATTCATATGTTGCGTCGAATCACAAAATTTCCAGGCCATTACGCAATTCGAAAAAATACAAAATTAACGCTAAATACAGTAATAGCATCCACATCGAATAACGGAGGCATTTTCATGGTTTTAGCTCTACGTGAAATTTGGCACATCAGTGAAGAGCACTTGCAGAGGATATCGCAGTGAAATTGTAGAATCAGGCCTATTTAAGACATACAGATATTCTTCGCAATATTTGAGAGGTTCAAATAATAACCAAAGCGCAGCGTAACTCGTCAGAGTAAAGCGTTTCTAATGCCAACACCAACAATGATTCTTCTAGATCTGACTCGAAGCGCCCCTACAGCCCAGGCAAACAGACGAAGTTCATCTCTTTTTGCTTTCATCTTCTAAATTGTGGCCCACTAGCGGCCGATCGATAAAGGTTCCTGAACACTAGTAGTTCTGTCCGAAGTTCAAATCCCGTAAACGGACTGGCTGCATGGGCGTTTTCGTGGTTTTCCTCATGTGTAATGTATTAATACGAACCATTTTCCGTCCTCCACGAAGGCATCCTTCCTTTCCGTGTAGTGCCATAAAGCGGAACACACACACAAAACCCCTCTAAATTACGATATTCCTAGAGCAAACTTGAATCTTCTACGAATCCATATCTTAACTGCCTAAAAGATATGCTATACGCTACATCTTAAACACTTCTGCTATACACGAACTGGGCTTCGCGCTGGGAAACCTTTTTCCATGGTCTACGGCGACTTAACAATCTGATCTCTTTGAATGCAGCATAAATTCACTTTTATCGCAAAAGAACTGTTCGAGGAAAGCTAAACGCTGACACTAAAAAATTCAGACAACGTTCATCAAGTAATCAAATAGGAAAATCGAAATTTAAATCTTTTAGAAATCTCTAAAGAAATCTTCTGAAATTAACTTTGAAAACTAATCACGAAAGTAGATTCTATTTAGAGCAACTCGCAGGAAGGGGAAGCGAACGCATATCGAGCTCCCAAGCCCGCCCAGGGAAACTGATGCAGCCAGTCAAAACGATAAGCATGACGCTCGTGACGCACAGTAAATTTCAATATAGCTAATTGCCCAATTATTAAAATTCATGGAAAGACTTTCTTAGTTATTTGAAGATGAAAAAATAAAGTATTTCAAAGCTACCATGAAAGCTGAGAAAGAATCTCCGTAAGAATATGCGATGTAAAATCCCGCAAAGATATTACTACAACACAAAATCGCAAAAACATATATACCCCTCTTACTTTCTGGTAGATAATAAAAACCTGATAATTATCATAAGTCTCCCATCAGACAATAATGTTTTAGATATTTAAAAGGAGCTCATCCGCGAAAGTTTTACAGTTATTCGTGTGGATAAAATGATCAGCCGCAGTTAATTGTGAAAGAAGAAAATTCTCCTTTTCCTTCTTTTCAGGCTTACCATCATGCTCAAACTTACCAGGAAAATCTTCTGTTAATACAAACCTATCTTCTCTTTAGGAAAGGTATTGAAAAAATTATTTGAAGTAAGAGGGAAAACAACCTAATCAAACTCCCAAATAAAACATTTGGTTCTGCAAGGGATTATCTACCACCATGCAGCATCTAGAAATTACTAAAAAAAGTTCTAGATGAGGACAGTCAGAACATTTTTGGGGAGCCTTTGGAAAGTTATTTACACATTTTTATTGCCTTGCTTTGTGACTGAAGGGATTTAGCAGACTTTCACAACTTTTTATGTTAGGTTTTCTGAATGGAATTACCCCACAGTTTATTAGAAAACGTTTATAGCTGTACTCCAGTACAATCGCAGATGTGCCAATGTATCAACAAACGCTTAGGTGTTTGCCCTCTCCGATATAACTAGACTTTCTAAAAATTTTTTTAAACTTTTGTTGCCTGTGGCATAAACAATATAATATTTGCATTTAAAAAATTTCATATACAGTTAAAAAATATCTAAACTTACGGCACATCATTTGTCATGACGCATGCTGAATAATTTGAACACTTGCAATCTGTAACAGAAGAGAGCAGAAAATCAGTTTCATTTAGGGAATGTCCAAATAAAATAAAAATGCTTTGTACAGATTATAAGTTTGGTCATTTTCCAAAATAAATTATAAAGTCGAAAATTTGGTGAACAAGAATGCAGTCTGTACTCAATTGACTTATCAGAGAGGATTCCCACCCCCTCATAAAATTTAACCAATAGATGGCGCTGTTATCATCACATTATAAGAACAAAATGGAAAAAATTATAATTGCACTCCAATGATTCATTTGTATTTGCAGATATATAACAGTTCTGCTAATCACTGTAACAGTGCAACATGACCCTTCAAATAAAAAATCTTCTTTTTAAAGAAATTAATTTGCACGTTTTAACCCTTTACGGCACGCTACCTTTTAAAGTTGGACTTTTGATTAAAAAAAAAAATAAAAAATAAAAGAGGTAGGCAGTCTGATTAGATCTAGAGGAGTACACAAGTAAAATTTTGTGAAGATAGCACTTATCTTTTAATTCTGTGGGTGTGCACAAAGTGGGCCCACTGATTGAATAGAGCTTCGAAAAGAGTGCTGAAACGAATATTGTTGTCAATGAACTGACCGATGAGATGCGGAGAAACAAAGAATACAGACTCTCAGTTGTTTTAGATTATCGGTGAGCCCGGTCTGGGCGCACCTAGGGTTCGCCGTTTGATTTTAGGCAAGATTTCAAGGTAAAAATTTAAACTAATATAGAATAAGGAGATTAGCATACAGCTAAAAAAAAACATAGAAATTTTTCTTTTCAAAACAATTTCTTTTATACCCTAAAAAATCTGGAAGATTACTTTGAAAAATGAGGGTCTTAAAAAACCAAACATGGCTAAAATATATGGACTGGTTTGTGTTGAGCTGCCATCTACTATAAATAAAGAAGGTTCAGAGTAACCTATAGTGACCTATAAATCTTTTTTCATTCAATTTTTTTGTGCGTATAGAAGGAAATTTTTAGGTGTGTCCAGATGGGACACACTGTGCCGCAAAGGGTTAACGGTGATACGCAATCTATGTGCGAACGCTTGAACCAAGATGGCTCTTATGTAGGAAACAAAAGTCTGCCTCTGTAAAAATCCAATAACACACTGAGATGCCAGTTTACTTTAAAATATCTGATATGAGCTTTTAAAACTTTCCGATTTTGGAGGAACCTGTGTTTCAAAATAAATTCGTCTAAATAGTTTGGAATAGGCGAAGAAAATACTTTCACGTAAGGGATATACCGCTGATTTAAGAGCGATAGAGAAAGGTAAACATTCCTTCGACAGTAGCACGATGGGAATTTCACAGAAATGCACCGAAAGACGTGAGACTTGTTTTTAATAGTGAAAGATTTTATTTCCAGAATAAGTTCGTGTTTCATCGACAGGTGACGCTTGTGTCAGAAACTTGTGCGGGAAATTACAGGAAAAAATGAGCGGAACGCTGTAATTTTACCATTGCTCTTACAGTTACAGTCCCACAGCCCTAACTATAGAGCTCCGAACTGAATTTGATGGAGACCGTCTCTGGTGACACATTTGAAGGTCTTCCACCACTCTCTCTATATGACTAAGCCATTTGAGAGGACTCAATATTTTAAGTGCCTCAAAGCATATACATATATAAACATCCATATCTTCTCTGGGATTCATAGCCGGGCCAAAGATACAGCATCCAGCATCGCTAACTTCTGTACCGAACATTTAGCAAAGCAGCCAGCATTTGCAGCGCAGTAGAAAATGGCCATCAAATATGGTATAATGCCAAAGAGTATTCAACTGTAAATCTGGTCAGATGATGGTGAATAACTTTTTTTAATATGGCCATTAACGTCAGCCGACTGTACACCCGCAGCTTCAAGTAACCCGAAAATCAAAAAGGGTAAGGTAAAACGTCTTGAAAGTTTTGTGGGCGATTGAGTGGTGGAAAGCGATGGTGCAGAGCATTGGCGGAGTGAGCGAGAGAGTATCGTCTAATGTCGATCCCAGAAAGTGATGGACAGGACCTGTGCATGGGCGTTCCATTCTGCATGATAAGCTGTTGGCTGTCTTACAAAGAGGAAACGATGCTATCTCTTAAAATTGGTGCATACTGCTCGACTGTGTTAAAACAATTTCGAAATGTACAGCTGTGCACTTCCTCAAAGAATGATCCAATAAATCCACCGCATGATGCCATCTCTGGTTGAGTTTCACAATCTCGACCGAATACAGCAGATGGGTGCATTTGCATTTACATTAAGCGAAAAGAGCCCTTTAGCCCACAAGTCAGTCTGTAAGGCATTTCTCCCGTCTTCTAGCATACCTTCGTAGTGTAATGGTCAGCATACGCGGCGCGTATTCGAGAGGTCCATGGTTCGAGTCTCGGAGAGGGCATTGCTCATTTTTCATGTCTCTTGGTTCGAAATAATCTAATGTCTCTAGAGTGGCGCCCAAACTAAAAACAAGGCGGTAGGTGATGATTCTCCAACACCAGGATTTGGTGATGGGATCCCCTAATCTCCATTCGCCCTTTAAAAGGGGGGGTATATAAGGTATTTCTCTCGCCTTCTAGCTTGCCTTCGTGGTGTAAGTGTCAGCATACTCGGTGCGTATTCGAGAGGTCCGTGGTTCGAGTCCCAGTAAGGGCATTCCTCATTTTTCATATCTCCTGTTTCAAAATAACCTAATGTCTCGACAAGTCCGCAGTTCTTTCGACAGTCACTCCACGTTGTTTTCCATCTGCTGAAAAGTCTAATTTGTAGATTCGTATCTTATCTTGAAATCGGTAGACTAAGGTTCCTGTATAAGCCAGACTTTGGAAAAATACATCTCGAGCGTAATCTAGAGTGATAGTACACACAGTCTTTTACGAAATGTCAGTTGTCCAGGAACTCTATATCCTTACCTGTCGGGCTATTCTGGTAATAAAATTGTTCGTTATTATAAATATATATATCCCGTTTATTTCTGTGCATTTCTTTGAAAACCGCTTCGTGCTACTGCTGATGCTTTTCGAATTACTAAATTTTCAATTTTCTCTCTTACTTTTAGATTCCCCGCTATTGTTCAGAATTTATTTGCCAATTCCAAAAGCTAAATCATTTATCATTAACTTAAGATACTACTTTGTAAGAAGCACGAATATTAGGATCCTTTCTGAAATGATGACTCAGTAAAAATAATTTTGAGATAATTACTTTTGATGACTGGGTATCTAATTTCTTCGCAAGGTTTGAAAATGATATATAGCACTGATATCATGTAAACTCTTAAAGATAGGTTTTCTGTAAGAATTTCCAAATACATTATGGTTTTGGATTAGCCCGTTTTGAAAATTAAAAACAAAAATTCCATTATTTACTTATTTATTTATTTCAAAATTCCATTACATCACTGATTAAGAGAAAAACGTTTCGTGCTTTCCTTCTTAAAGCCTACGAGATGGGGTTCATTATGTTATTGATACTTTTTATTACATCCCTTAAGATATTTTATACTTTTGTAAGCGTTAAATTCCTTTAATTGTTGCTGTTGTATTAATTTGCTTATACTCCTGATTTGGGGAGATTATTCATATTAGGTTCATGAATTAATTCTGACCAAGAGCGCCTGTCCTTGGCCAAGATGTTAGACACCTTATATGTGACAGCATGAATTCTGGCAAACTCCGCCTCAAATTTGATCGCCAATACGCTGGGAAATGGAATCCAAGAGTCTCGTACATTTCTTCACCAGCCTTTCGAGGGGAAAATTTGGGTCGACGGATATTTAAATTTTCCTCGTATATTTACAGATCGCTATGCCTTCTTCGGGATTCGAGTCCGTGCCTTCTTTGCTAATCGACATACAGATAAGCCCGACGTAAAGTTATTTAATGCGCAAAAACACAGATTTACGTAACTTTGCTTGAAATTTATATTTATACAAAGCCTTGAACACTTTTACCGTAGGACTATTGGTTGATTTTTTGTTTACAAATGTTTAATACCTTACTTATTATTTTTCGACTATAACGGGAAAAATTAAAGATGATGCTTTATGTTGATTCTGTTAAATAAATTCCCATAAAAGGTAGCTGCTGATAGCTCAAGTCGGCGTTATCACATTATCCAGTGGGACCCACCTTCGTCACCCAGAAATATACAAATTTTTCTTCCTTTCTTTCGACTCGTGTGGAAAGGAGTGTAAGGGGGTGATTAGAATTTTAAATTTAAGGATTGTACGAACAGTTGGATAAAACTTTCGCATGTGAAATATGGAACAAGTCAATGAGAAGGTATGTGACGCATTGCGAGGAATGGCAGATGATGATAATGCATTGTGTTTGGAAGAATGGAATCAGAAAAAAAAAAAAAAAAAGCAGTGGCACAGGTGGCAAGAAAAAAAGTAGCCAAGAGTGACATGGCGAGAATCTAGAAGGTGTGTGTGCAGATAACCAGGTCAAGATCGAAACCATACCATAGGAGACACTGAAGACCGTTATTTGAAAACAATTGTAAAAGAACTAGACAAGTATCGTCAGCCAGATTGCAAGACAGTCCACTTCAGTTACAGAAATTCCATTAACCACATGTATTGTGAGTGAAAGACACTATTAAAAAGGGGGGGAAACCCCTGATTTGTGTCCCAGTAACTCATGCGAAAATCTCTATGTTGCAATGGTGCAGAGATCATTGTGACTGGAGTATCATAGGTTAGAGCCGAGTTCGTTTACCGGGAGTCTGTTTTAAACTGAAGAGTGACGCATTTATTGCAATATGGAGGGAGAAAACCATAAGCCTAAACACATCAGTGAAAGGTAGCATACATACGTGAAAGGTAGTATCCATACCATGGCCAAGAACATCGCTATGAATCGTTATGAACATAGTTTCACGGATGCTATCGGAAGTTAAGTTAGCATCCGTGAAATTATTAGATTCATGGTATGGGCGGATGTCATTACGAATGTCTGAACTGACACTTTTACCAGTGCAACTATGAATGCAGAAATATACAAAAATGGGGGTTATTGATTCTTATGCCATGTTGTCTAGAGATGCAGTTGATAATAGCATCTTCCTAGTGGACGATAATGCTTCTTTCTACTACACTGCGCTATTAACCGATTACCTCGAAGAAGAAAGAATCCAGCAGATGGTGTGGCTCACAAATTTTCCACATTAAAACCCCATAAAATATATGAGGATGTACTAGGACGAAGCCTTGCAGATCTCACTTAGCCTTTTCTCTAGGAGCTTCACGACTCTATTTATCGTGTAGGTTTTCCGCTAGTGCACTAGTCACTAGTCATTCACTTTCCGCTAGTCATTTGTGTTTACTGTTTGTCTGCTTTCCGATTAAACGGTGTTTAAACGGGACTTAGCAATTATTTGTCAATAATTTTATCGAGAAGAGCTATTGGTTGATGGGGGTGGCAGAGGAATCATATTTAATTGAACAGTGTAAACGAAGTTTTAAAATAGTTAAGAATACAATAAATAAATAATAAAAATAAAATTGCTGTTTTTTAAAACTTTTAGAAGACATTAATTGCATTAGTTCTGACTTTTAAAGTTGCTTTGCAAAATATAATTATCAAATAATCATACCAAATTAAATGCAATCTAATAGACTCATCAAAGCATTTACATCAAATTATCTTGACAAGCATGTCTTAATATAAATAATAATCTATTATTGTTACTTACGTGCTTGGTCGTGACTCATTCCAAGATTATGTCCTATACTATGAGCGAGAATGAAAGACGTTATATGAGGTTGAAAATGATTATCTACCTATGGAAACAAAAAATTAAAAATAACGTTAGGAATTCATTACGATTTTTAATTCTATTATTTTATGATAGTCTTCCCCAAGGTGCAAAAATTAACAGAACATGATCTGAAGTACGAGGGCCATCCAGGAAGTAGATTACGTTTCCGTCTGTGTCCGCTAGGGGCGGGGCTAGCGCGGCCATCTTGGGGTCAGAGCGTTGCGCAGCTCAGTCTGCATCTAGCCGTGCTAGTGAGAGGTTCGTGCTGTTGCTCCGTTCAGATACTGTGACGGTTTGAAATGTCTGCGTTAATTGAAAATCCCGCGAGCTTGCGAGGTGCGCTCAGTAATAAGGTTTTTCTGACTGCAAAAAACTGTAAACCGATAGAAATCTATCGGCAGCTTCGTGAAGTGTATGGGGACAACATTATCACTGAAGGTGGAGTGCGTCAGTGGGTCATAAGATTTCAAAATGGCCGAACCAATGTTCACGACGAAGATCGAAGTGGGAGACCCAGCATAGTGACCGCCGAACTTCTCGAAAAAGTCGATGCTAAAGTCCGTGAAAATCGAAATTTCACAATAACGGAACTTTCTTTGAGTTTTCCACAAATTTCGCGAAGTTTGTTGCACGAAATCATCAGCGAAAAGCTTGGTTACCACAAGTTTTGTGCAAGATGGATTCCAAAAATCTTGACAGAGGACCACAAAAATCAGCGAATGGCTGCAGCGTTGAACTTTTTGGACGCTTACCATAAGGATGGTGACTCTTTTTACTCGATCGCATCGTTACTGGTGACGAAACATGGGTGAAACATGTGAACTGTGAAACGAAATTGCAATCAATGCAGTGGGGGCACACAAGTTCTCCCCAAAAACCCAAGAAATGCATGCAAACAATGTCGGCAAGGAAGATGATGGCGACTGTTTTTTGGGACAGAAAAGGTGTAATTTTGGTGGACTTCCTGGAAAGAGGCACTGCAATAAACTCTCAAAGGTATTGCCAAACTCTCCAAAAACTCAGAAGAGCAATTCAAAACAAGCGCAGAGGAATGTTGAGCTCTAAGATCTTGTTGATTCACGACAACGCCCGGCCCCACACGGCAAATGTCACTCGTAAAGTTCTTGAATCTTTTAAGTGGGAGTTGTTTCCTCATCCGCCGTACAGTCCCGACCTGGCACCGAGCGACTTCCACCTATTCCCAGCAATGAAGAAGTGGCTGGCTATGCAGCGTTTTGATGACGACGCACAGCTGCAAGAAGAGGTAACGAAGTGGGTTGAAGGCGCAGGCGGGCCGAATTTTTCGACGAAGGAATTTCCAAGCTCGTACATCGCTACGATAAATGCCTTAATTTGTATGGTGACTATGTAGAAAAGTAGTATTTTGAGTGTGGCTTTCATCTGTATATAATAAAATTTGTTTCCTATACTTTGTTTATTTTTTTATTCCAAAACGTAATCTACTTTCTGGATAGCCCTCGTATTACAAAACACTTCTAAAGTAACAATAAACATTCACAAGATATTCTCTTGCTCTGTTTTGAATCATGACGCAAATATCGAATATTTCAGTTTTAAAGAATTCATGGTACATGTAATTGGGTACAGTAATACTGCTGTTTGATGGACCATAATTGTATGAATTCCAATGCTGGATTATTCATAAACAAGACTATGCATCATTACGTTTTGAATGCTCTATGAATTTCTCTTAGTCATATTTCTGTGCAGAAAAATTCAGCGTGCATAATCTTTATCGCCAAACATATTTCATTTACACGTTTCACTAATGGATTACGGGAAAGGTAAAGGATCTTTTACGAGTGTTTTGAATGTAAATAGGTTCAAAAGTAAAGTTAAAAATGAAATAGATTCCATTTCTGCTTAGATGTTGAACAATACATGGGTTGCAAGCGACCATCCTTAGATATCAATATCGGAATTCAAACTGAAGTCATAATATACCTTAAACAACCACTGGCTTCTGAAATTCTCTTGTAGAATATTGCAAAATTTCGTGGATTATAACTGACATAATAACAGAAATTTACTAATTATTACAAAATAAAATTTTCTTCGAATTTATAACAACTTCTAATATTTCCTAGAAACAAAATTTCAAATAATTCTTTTAGTCTGAGTAAATGTAGATAATTGAAATCATATCCTAAACAGAGATTTATTCTACAGTAAAATTTTGCACACAATACTTAGGTTTCACTAAATTTATTGGAGAATATTTCGAGTGCAAAAAAGCGTTGAGTCGTTACATAAACTAGTTTTTTGAGAGCAAAGATACTGAATTATCTTTGCCTATGAATATGGATATTGCGGAATTCACTGGGATGAAAGAGCCAGTGATTTAGCTAAAGATGCTTTATTATATTTATTTGTGATTTCCAAGAGCTTTTACGAGACATCTTATCGCAAAAAACTTATTGCGAAATGGAATGGAAAGTTTATCTCATCTGGCAAAGCTAGCAAACTAAAGAGTTTCCCTTTTATTATGCATAGCTTAAATCTGATTACTTTTTTATATAAATACCAACTTTAAAATTGCGTCATTTAGGTTTGCGTATGCAAACTTTGGTAAACATTTACAAAGATTTAGCCTTCAGCCGCATGATTTTGTGCAAATTTTCAAAAAAAGCCAAAAGATGTGCAATATTTGATTTTCTGCTGCCCTGCTTCTGATTCACCCATGTTGTGGAATCGGGAAAACAATGAACAAAAGAGAGTCGATTTTGATTGCTTTAAATCAATTTTCTGTTACTAATTTTATAAATACTTGTAATTTGATTTGGTTTTTCAATGTTTCATTTGTGTTATTGTTAACTTACTTCATTAGACATTCTTTTGTACTTGTAGAGCGCAGAAAAGGTTGTGTTTGTATTTAAAAAATAGAATTGATTTGTTTTACTCATGAAATATGTATTTGGTTCTAAAAATTATAAGCTGAAGAAATATGGTTTAAAAATATTGACACTTCTGGTTTCCGAACTCATTGATGAAAGATTTTTCCTCCGTTATTTTGATTACCGTTATTCCCGGCGTATAACGCGCATCTATAATTTCAAGCTACATTTTATAATTTTTAGTTATATTCGCCGTATAACGCGCACCCAATTCTTCACGAAGAAACTTAAAAGATACATATGGAATACTCTTATTCTTTTAGGTCACTTTTTCGAAAAGTTGTCCTAGTCTTTCAAACAATGGGTACACCGACTCGACAATCGATTAGGGAAACGATATGTGTGTGGGATAAATGCTTAAAGAAGCAAATATTGCTGATTGTATTCAATGCAGATGTCCAAAAGAATGCTATTGTAGGGTTTCGAGAAAAGCGGAATATAATTTGGAATAAGAATGCACTTCCATCCTGAATGGATTCATGGAATTGGGATTTAGATGTTTACTCTTTCTGTAATCATTTGAAGCCTCGATTTTGAAGTGAAAATCGAAGGCTTTAGTAAATCGTATTTGGTTTAATCGAAATACAGTTCATCTAGTGTTCCTTTTAATAGTCAATACGGCTACCTTGGAAAAAAAAAAAAAAAACAGGGCTGATTTCAAATGCTAAGCCATTCATTTTATGAAAGAAAAGGGAAATCACACTGCAACGAGGGTGTTTGGTGTTGGTGAAAGATGGAACGAACGATGATTATTACTTATTTATGGATCAGAGTAACAGTGATGGTGAAGATGAAACAGAATTCGATGATGTACCTGAAGATATAACGGAAGACCAAGATGACGAACATTTCATATTATCCGATAAAGAAAATTTTTAAGTTCATAAACTATTACATTTCTTTTAAACAAACATTATTTAGATACATATAGAAATCTAATTTTTTATGCTTATTTTTAAATCTCTCATTTTTATACCCGGCGTATAATGCGTACCTGTAAATTTCGATCTACTTTTTTGTGTTGAAAGTGCAGTAAGTGTAATTCGGTTAAATGAATATTTCCTGAACTTGCAAATTATCACTGTGTTGAAATTTCTGTTTTGCAAATGTAACGTTTCCTTTTTATTTAATTTTCGTAACGTCAAAATCACTTCATGGCCATGTTGTACTGGGTGATCTAAACGCCGCGCACATCAAACTTAAAAAATTGTGAAAATTCTAAAACAAATATTAATGACAAATGATTTTAATAAATTACACCTCACATATTATAAATATGATTGCGATGTGAGTTTCTTACCTTTTCTGTTGGTGACTGCAATATTTTATTCCTGACCTCGACCATTTTGTCTGAACTCAGACAAACAATTTCGTTTGTTATGCTGAACGCTTATAATTTCTGAAAATGCGTTGCGAAGTTATGGTTCGTCATAAATATTCGTTCTGGCTCGAAAACACGCATTTTTTTTGCACCAAAGAAGCGGTTTAACGCTAACAGCATAAACTGCAACTGAAATTTCAAGTGATATATTACTTTAATTAAAACCCATTTTGAAACTTCCATAAATTTTGCGCACTACGTTTTGATCACCCGGTATTTTACATAACATTCAAAATACTAAGCATTTCATAAAATCATAAATTTATGTATTGAATTAATCTACTTGTTAAATGTAGCAACAGAAGGAAGTCTTGTTATGCAGTTAAATAATACTAGTATACAGCAACGCAATTTTTAAAACGAGTAAGCTGTTTGAAAAATAATGCAACTCTCTTTATTCCATTTAGGTTTAAAATAAGATATATAATAATACCTCTTCGTAAATAGAGCACTTTTTTAACACTTACCCTTGTTAGACCAGCAGCATTAGCGGTGCATATGCTATCGATAAATGCAAGGCCGTTTTTATCCGAATCAAATTTAAAGCCTCTGAAAAGAAAAAGAAATTAGTGCAAACTTAAGAAATACTTTAGTATGTAACAGAATAATATAAAAAATAGAGGTCACAGACCAAGTAATAAGGTCATGAATAAAAATCCTACATGGTCGTGAATAATAATATCTCATTCGGTCTGATGACTATTTTGAGGAACCCACGCAGTGACTGATTCATATAGAGGTGAGAAGGGCACGTGCACCGGGCCTTTACATCCATCTACACTATTCCAAATAACTATTATGTACTCGTATTTTTACTTCCTTGTACGAAGTAAAGGAAGTATTGGAATCGCGAAAAATTTCGGGTATCATATTTAAAAAAATATATATCCATTGACGTCTATCGAATGCAATTTAACGATATTTTTGCGTATCTGTACGGAAGGGTAGAATAAAGGACTCTTTTTCTGAAAGCGGATTGCAAAATGGATTTAAAATGGATTCAGAAGAGATTTTTTCCATGACGTCTGTACGTTCGTATGTATCTCGCATAACTCAAAAACAAGTAACCTCAGAACGTTGAATTTTTGTGTATAGGACTGCTGTACCATCTAGTTGTGACCTCCCTTTCGGTTGCAATCGACGGTGCAAAAGTATATATACCCACGTTGTTATTCGGCTCAGTGAGCTTAGTCTTTTTTATTCTTTCATGATGGTAAATTGCTCGTTTATTTTATTTTTTCTTTAAAAATAATTGAATTATGTCGTTTTTATGTTCCGGTTAAGGCTTTTTATGCCTTGAATTAATGTGCATGCAATAGTTATAGAATTATCTATAATTCAAAAATTGTTCGAGTTGGGCTAAGCCTAACTTACTAGCCATATTTGTTTACATTTCAAACTTAGCAGAATAGTGAATTAAGTCAGTTTCTGAACCTGCAGTGTCTTTTTGTCGAGTGGGATCATAAGTAAACTTTCAGCTTTGTGCACCGAAAAATCTGCCTTCTTGCCTGCTGGCCGAATTGTTTGTTTTTGTGTAGAAACTCTCATTTTAATTATGAAAATTGCTTTTTTTAAATTGATTTAACTGTATTTTGTGTTTTTCTATAGTTTTCAATTTTTTAATAAAGATAGTTTGAGGTTTTATGTATTTTGCCATGCCGCGAAGTGAGAACTGATTTAATTGAATGAGAAGTCTATCTCTAATGAAATTCGAGGAAATAAGTTTAAATGAAGTGCAGCAAAAAAAGTGTATAATTTATTAGACGGTACAAGGAAGTAATGTGGTGTCCGCAACGTTTTTCTTTTCTTTTTTTTTTTTTTTTTTTTTTTTTTTTTTTTCCAGTTGTAGATTTTGAAAAGGTAAGTCAGAAGCAGAGCTAAAACGTTAAGCTTCATATTTCACCTTTTTTATACCTTCTTTCTTATCAATTTTTTCAAAAATCCCACAGTTAATATTTGATATAATCAGGATTAAATACCACGGAGTGACGCATCAAAAGAAATGATTTTTCCACATTTGAGGGAACTTTTTAATTCTGTCTTTCAATGATATATTTAATTAAAGAATTAATGAGCAATTTAGTTGCAATAATATAGTAATATCTCTATAATTTAACTACGCTTTGTGGTAACATCAGCTAGGAAATTTTTGGCTGTTACTTTTTTTTTACAGTTTCTTCTAGGAAAAAGAAAAGATCTTGGGTTAAAATGTGCAAGTTTATATTTTATACGAGACTTACTAAACTGAAATTATAAAAACTAAAGGCACGAAAAGTGACGTTCATTTTTTTCGTTTAACTGACTTTGAATGAGAAATGTTGAATTACACGGTTATTTCATTTCACATGAACTTAACATGAACTATCATTCACGACAGTGACATCATCTGCATTAAAGCTTCCAGTTTTAGAAGCTGGGTTTAAGTCCTATATAAAGTCTTTTTTAGGGGCATCAACCAAAATTGCATTACTTGGTCGACGCCGTCAATCGCTCAGCACCATTTCCTACGCTCAAAAAAGAAAAAAAAAGTTTCAAAAGTTTCAGATTTTAAATTACGTCTAAAGGGGTGTTTTTTTAACATTTTGTGTGTTACATTTATTTATTAAATATCACGTTCTTCGCACTTAAACCATAAAATTCAGTTCAACAGCAATATCACAAAATAATATTAAAATGAGCATATCCTGTAGAATTTCCGATACAGAGTTACGCGCGCTGAAGATAAAAATGTTTTTTCTGTATAACGTTGCCATTGCTCGCTTTGAAATACTTGAGTTTGTTAATCAAAAATTCGCTAAAGTTTTACAAAATATGAAATCGATAATAAAACAAATTCCAAATTTGGGCTTCCACATTCCCACATTCGCAGTAGGATTACGTACATTCAAAATTCCATGGCTTTATGTACCGTTGTTTTATCACAATGCGGGAAATATATATACAATTATAGAGATTTTCATTACTTAATTTCTTCAAATATAATGCACGACTCTAACATTTGGTGGCAACAGTTTGAAAAGGTGGAAATTTCTCGCTAAGCCTAGTTAACAGAAAATAGTGAAATAGCTTGGTTAGGAAATATTAAACAGCACTTTTTCTTTCTTTAAAGCTTAGTTATTTCCTGAATGAATATAAGCATAAAAATGTCAAAGATTTAGAAGAATAATGTTTTGTCTCCAAGCTGTGCTTAATCATCTACATAACATATTTTGCGGTGTAATATTCAGGTGATTTAATGTCAGAATTTAATACTGAAGCTCCAAGAAAGGGATTAAGTAAAGATTCATTAACGAAGGCATTGCGGATTGCCTGTCTAATCGGTACATGTGTTAGCGATGCTGGGTGCATAACGAATCCCGGAGAAGGCATGAATGTTCGTAAAAGCATTTTGTCCTCATGGCATGGTGACACTTAAAATACTGGCGAGCCGAAAATCTTCTCGAGTGGTTTGATCGCAGTGAAAGAGGGGATGGAAACCCTTAGATCCATCCTCCTAGGTGTTCTTTATCAAACCTGGGACGAGAGTTGCACAGTTAGTATGGTGAGACAATAGCTATATGTTTATTGGTGAAATTCTGGTACTCCGCTGATTTCTACCTGTACTTATAACGAGAGCCCAGCCTTCATTAAATGTACTTATTATCTACTGAAGTTTATTCTGAATTTTATCTACTTTTGATTTAATTCAGAAATAAAAACCGAAAAATAGAAATAAAAGTCTTCTCTATCTATTGCTCTTTCGCTATTGTCTGATTATTGCACTAAAATCAATTTTCTTTATGCAAGAAATAATGGTGGATTTTTTTAACTCTTGATTTCATTCTAATGAATAACAAAGGAAGATAAACTAAAAATAATAAATAAATAAATAGACGTAACTTAGGAAAAGAAAATCCGCCCCAGAGGGGGAGGTCTACATCGCAAGCGATTTAGAAAGGAAAGGTGAACTTTTGTTTCTAAACGGTGACGAAGTCTATATCACGATCGTAAAAGAGGGAGGATCGAAAAGGCCTTAAAAAGCTTATTTTAAAGCAATGGTACTATTTTTGCGGAAGTGTGTAGAATCATAAAGTTTTTTTTTTTTTTTTAAGTAGGAGACGTGAAAAATATGAAATGCCCTCGCCGGTATACTCGAGCCTGGACCGCTCGAATACGCTTCGAGTGTGCTAACCGTTACACCATGAAGATTTGTAGGAAGGAGGGAGAAAATACCTTATATACTCCCCTCTTTTAAAGGGCGACTGGGGGTTAGGACACATAATCGCCAAATCCTGGTGGTGAAGAATCATCATCCACCAACTTTTAGTTCGAGCGCCACTGCAGATTTTTTTTTTTTCCGTTTTAAGTAGGAGACATGAAAAATGAGCAATGCCCTCGCTGGGACCCGAACCTGGACCTCTCGAATATGCACCGAGTGTGCTTATCGTTGCACCATGAAGGCATGCTGGAAGAAGGGAGGAAATAGTTCATAGTCTATAGTTCATGTAGCTTTCATAGTACTGCGAATAACAGAAATCAATAAAACATTTTAAGATTGAGTTTAATTCAATATTTATTTTATTTATTAACAATTACAATAAGGACAGAAATATTTTATTTTCAGAAATGTCTAGCCAACTAATTAATTTGTAGCTTAAGTTAAAGACTGAGAAAACGCAGAAACGTGCACTAACAATAAAGATCAGTTTGAAAAACTTAATAAAAGCTTCAAAAATTATCTCAATATTTACATAGCATAAGCCACACTGCACAAAAAAATAAGAACAACAAATTTATAAATATGTTTCATATGCTCAAGTGAATGGATATACTACTTAATAATTATCTGCTATAAACGATATACAGTTTTTTAAAAATTTAAAGGCACTTACGTTAATAAATGTGCTGCATCTACAGATATCCGATTTATCTTACGTGCAGTATAATCTTGAAAATCAGATAAAGTTTCATTCATGACAGTATCAAATTTCATTTGATCTTCTTCCCATAGTTCCAAATACACTAGACTCACGTAAGTATTTAAAGGTTGAAAGAGCTGTAATAAAACAATATTTGTTAGATAACAAATCCAGTTAGAAAAGAAATTTTATTCTCTTAGTTAAAATAAATGATCATAAACTAAGAGCGTATGAAAATTTAGAATAAAATTTGTTTCCAATTTATAGAAAGAAATTATATTTAACCTTTATATTAATTTGAATATACAGGATTGTTAAAAAAAGCGAACTGATTTCATTTATTTATGCTTTAGTAAGTCATAGAATTTCAAACCTGTAACAAAGCAAAAAGTGTTCCATTACTAAAAAAGAAGTTTCATTTCTTGTTCAAAATTTTGAGGGATCATAAGCTAATGGATATCTTGAATTGTGGACTTTCGTAGGTTCCGCTGAAAATCTCTCATGGGTTTTGTCCGCTTTCTTTTTCGAAATTTTAGGCTTTCCAAAGTTTTTGTCTTCACACAGACATCTTATGTAGCGAAATTATCTAAATCATCGTCAATTGTTTGATAGAGCAGAATACCTTTTATTTAGCCATTACCATACGGAGGTTACACTAGTAACTGAAAGTTGAGGGGTTATAAGCGTTCTCGTCGTTTGCTCACTTTCTAATATTGCTGTCTCATAGAGCCACCTATTAGCACCATTCTTGAAGTGCAACGCTACAAGTGTGCTTGAAGGTGGTAAACGACCTGGCCCGGAACTGGAGTCTGTGGCACAGAAACAGAAAATTGTACCGCAGCCGGGTGCTTTCCTCAGTTCGGCCGATACTCGGATCTTTATCCTGGTACGAACGTCTGATTGATCATCAAATCGTTATCCGGAAAGCCACTCGAAAATAAGAAATTCTTATATGGTCCCTTCATATGGTATATGGCACATCTGTGAATATGCCATATCTCTGAATTAGATTTACAAAAAAAAAAAAAAAAAATGCTTTACAACCACTGTCAGAAGATTAAGACACAATAACACGCCGAACAAATACTAATCCAGAAGTCAAACAACAAATCGTCGGGTCGTTTATTCTCCCATCAATAAATTTCCGAGTTCCATACTCAAGGACCCCATTCCGGATATGAATTCCTGGGGTATTTATAGGATTTCTTGCCAGTGTGGTTTAATTTACATTGTCCAAACTAAGAGAGCCTTAAAATTTCGCGTCAAGGAACATGAGGCATATGTTAGAAAAAAGGAAACACAGAAGTCTGTTGCCCAATATTGTTGGTCCGAAAATCACACTTTCAATTTTTCTGCTGCCAAAATTATTCAAAAAGCATCTTCCATTGGAGAACTGGATTTTCTAGAGGCATTTCACATTCAAAAAAACCTTTCTGTTCTAGTTAACGATCCTAATTCTAATCCATCTTTGCCTTCGGCCTTTTATCAACAGATAGCGCCACTAGCTTACTTTCTGTCCAGGCTTTCTTATCTTATCTGATTATCCTATCTCGTTCATTTGCGCTTTTGCAGCTGACGATGGTGGTTCGGTAAAACCATCGAAACTAGTCCCTGTGAACATTTGAAAATATAACGCTGATTTTTGTTGTTTGACTTCTGAATTCGTCACTGTCAGAAGAGTTTAACCTTTCTTATATGTATCAGCAAAGCCTTTGATTTCAGGGATATCATCTAGCAGCCATTTGGAAGCTCCTTTGATATTTCATCCGCCCATAACGTGTCAGAGGACGTAAAATACAACAGGTAAACTAAAAGGGTAAAAGGAACTAGCAAAATGGACCAAACAAAATAAATGCACCAAACCCCTCTGAGACTCTCAGCTGGAGATACTCTTGCTACTCGCAAGATTTTCGCATGATGAAGGCAATTACATTTACCTTTTAAAACTAACTAGATATCGCTTTCTCTATATTTAACATTTATCATTCATTTGATGTTGAGAACTTGTTCTCATTTGTTTAGTATTTCCACTTGTACACGCAATCAAGCCACCCGAGAGAAATGACGCATCTAGAACCTGACAGAGCACCTTGCTGGCAACTAACCAAAACTTAGAAATGTATTCTTTCAAATGATCAGGAACTCATTTCATTACAATGCCTGAGCGCTACGTCATTTGTAATAAAGCCCTATTGTATTTAGGTGCCATTCAAGATCATTACGAAGGCCATGAAACGTTTTTCTAGAATCATTTTTGTAGTCATAATTATAAAAACTGAGAAATGGCTCTGATTATTTTCAATTTTACAGTAAAACCTTTTACAAACTTTCGTTAGAAAAGTTTTAAATTTGCGATACTTAAATCCTGGTATATTTTGTTATTTATTATAAACTATCTAGGGAAAAGTTTTAAATTTGCGATACTTAAATCCTGGCATATTTTGTTATTTATTATAAACTATCTAGGGAAAGTTTTAAATTTGCGATACTTAAATCCTGGTATATTTTGTTATTTATTATAAACTATCTAGGGGACTGAATTGTTTCGCATAACAGTTTGCTAAATATCTAGTTCTTTGATTACACAGCTGGTTAGTTATTAGTTACTACATATGATGAATTTTGATATTTCGAGTATAAAAAATAATAGCCATAAAAGTACATTAAAATTTAAATTGCTAAAAAAAAGCAACCTTATTCTGGTATAGATTTTAAATAAAAACGGATTCCGAGGGTGATCACACACATATCTTCTTCAGAACGAAAGAAATATTATAAAATATTAGGAATAGTGAACGGTTTTATATGAACGTAACGGCCGGAGCAAAGCTAATGCCAGCGTAGTGCCATGTGTGTAGGAAAATAGTAATGAAACATGAAAAACCAGGATATTAGGATTTTGAAGGATTGGTTTGCAATTAATGTCGGTAATTAGAAAATTCTTTTGTAAATGTGAAAAGCTTCAAGGAAATCAAAATCATCAACTTAAGAAGTTTTATGCTTAACTTTTGCAGAACTGAAGTCAAAATTGTGATCAAGTATTGAATTATGATAAACTACCGAAGATTTGTTTATTTCTCCTTTTCAAAAGAAAGATTCGTTTTCTTTGATGCGAAACTTTAACTCTTTTTTAATTTGTTTGAAATATGACAAACTACACGTACAAGATATGCTATAAATTTAATGAAGAATAGCTTTTTAAGAATCGAACAACAAATTTCACTGACAGGTGAAATGTATTTCTTAGTTGTTTCTTCTTTATTAGTGAACTGGATTTGCTTGAAGATATTTTTCTTTCGCAAAAATGTATCTCCTTTATTAGCTGACATTAACTCAAGTTCATTCCTTCCTAATGCTTTCAGAGTTCTAATATCCTGATTTTTCATATTTCATTACTATTTTCCTCAATAGATGGCAGTACTTCGAGTTCGCTTTGCTCCGAAATTCGGTATAAAAATGCTTTTCTCTCCTCCGATTTCACAGAAAAAAAAAAAAAAAAAAAAAAAAAAAAAAAAGAGAGAGAGAGAGAGAAGCTTGAAAAGCAATTAATTATTTAAAAAAATCGCTTTCTGGTAGGGAAAAGGGAAATCATTGGTCATCAACAAATGAGAGTTCTTCTGTGTTTACATAATGCTTTCGTGAAAATATATAATAAGTATAAAAAAGAAAGGAAAACTGGAAAAAATTATACATAGCATTATCTGTAGAGAAAGACCAGGAAAAAACAAGCGACGCCATCTATTGACAGTAGAAAAAATAGAAATATATCACACAAAAAAAATTGATGATAGAGATTATTGATGGTCAAATAATTAATTAATGTACGAAAGAGTTAATTAAAATTTAAATTGTTTTTTAAATAATTTTTGGCAGACAAATAAATTGAATTTATAGTCTAGAAAGTAATAGTATTAATGGAATAATACATAGTCAAATATGCTGTCCTTTAAAGTAGATTTTTTTCTCTTGAAACTTATAGAAAATAGTTACAATATTATTCCAACGTTTATCGTTGTTATCATGAATTGTGTTATTGTGAACAATATTTCATTTACTAAGAACAAAAGTTTTATAAGGAAGAAAAATAGGATCTAATTTGTGCTGTTATATATTTAACCAACATATTCTCTTTTGTTGAAAGCTGTTAATTACAAAATATTATCTTGCTCACCAGATTTACATAGTTGATTATTTCAAGAGCAGCTGCAGCGATATCTTCTGGTGGAGATTTAAATTCTTCAATCTGAGACAAAAGAATATACAATATATTAACTATATCTGATTACTACGATAATTGCAGAATTTTAATACCTATATAAAATATTCTTACTAAAGTCTGGTCCAGCACAAGAGCTGTTTCTATATATTTATTCCTCAACATTGCTTCTTCCTGATAAAAACACAGCATTCAGTTTCAAAGACAATAAGCCAGAATAAAATACTTAAAAAAATATTCGTACAAGTACATATTGTCCCAAAATAATGTTCGCCCCTTTTGGATGTTAATAACAGAAACTGACTAAGATGACCCGACGTGATATTTCGTATTTGAAGCTGAAAGTAATCATTAAGAACAGGAGAGCGTATGTAGACATTCTATTGTTTTTAGCTCCGTCATAGCTTGAGAGAAAGCAAACATCAAAGTGCGGTAAATAAGAGAGGTGTGCACGCGTTTCGTTTCAAGCAAAGAGATAGGCTTTCAAGTGCTATTAGAAAACTAAGAATGTATTTCAAGGTGCACTTACAAATTTAATATTCCACCGCAATCACGTGTAACAGTTTCAAGATCATAGGGTAAGTCGTTCCACAAAATAGAATCTTGTATTGTTACACCTATAAGATATGTTACCACATATGGTGAAGAATGTTGACGAAGTCCGGTCCACCTTTCAAGTAAACTCGCCTTATGACCAGAATGGTCTTCGTCTCTTCTACATGTGGTATGGGCTTATAAATTTCTGCTAACAGGAAAAAAACTTTGATCTAGGAACACTTTATCGTCGTCACCTAAGAAAAAAGAATAAGGGTCTCACTTTCTTTATCCCTACCCTTAAACTATTTCGAGAGAACTTTCGGCTTATCAGTAATTTAAGCATTCCGATGCCTGAAGAATGCACTTGCAAATATCTACGCCTTCTTCAGAATTCAAACTCTGGCCACCGATATGGTAGCTAGCGTGGCTAATTTATTCTACCGATCGGGGAGGCTGTTGCAGCAACAACGAATGAAGTCTTTGGGATGAAGCTAAAAACTTTGAAAAGCTTACTGTTTGACTATCGTGCTTTTTCTCCTATTAAAATCACATTTCGTTTTCCACCTGTTCTCTAGCATCACAGACGAATGTTACCAAAAGCTGCCATTTCGAATATCTTTAAGATTAAGGTATTAGAAGTGGGTGCGTTTAGTTATTATTCGAAAAGAAGACCATAGGTTGGAGAAACGTTAACGCTTTTAGTTATTAATATTCCGAAGAGACATTATTTTGAGACACCCTCTGTAATAGTAAATAGCCATATGTCATGTTAAAATTCAAATTTAAAATGCTTTCGAAAACCAATTAAGTCATAACAATCAGCTGAACTCTGAGCATATTAAAGTACAATATGTTGTTTTAAATGCAAAATATTAACTTGATTTTAGAATATTAATTAAAATATATAAAACAGGTTAGATAATAAAATAACTGTGTGCTATACGCCCTTGCTAATAGTAGTTCTCTCTAAAACACAATCCGTGACCCATTGAGGATAAACTGGAGTTAAAGTTAGCCAGATAATATAAAAATGTGAATTAAATACAAGACAGTAAGTACATTTATAAGTAAATTTATCAATATAAAAAACAGAGAGCCTAAAAATCAAATGCAGCGAAATTTCTCGAGGTGATCATTTATCTTGCAGCCTTTTCATATCTCAATAATTTTTAAATATAAATAAACAATGTTACTGGATATTCCCTTTGTAAGGCGATAGCATCCGTGAAAAATCAAAATCAATTGGGACCCTGAATGCTGATCTTCAGAAAAGACTGTATATCTATTTAATAGACACCATAATTTTATTTTGAAAAGAATTAAATACAAAATCTTAATTTCAGCTTTAAATGGTAAGACGCAGAGAAACGGCAAATTAAGCTAAAATTTAAACTAACAAATAGATAATAAAAAAAGAATTTAATATTCAGGTTGTTCGAAAAAGATGAACCAAATTCATACAACCACAAAATCTTTAATATTACATATATCTTTAATATTACAAGTATTGGTAAAACATCTTTTGTTAAAATTATGTTGCTAAATTACAAATAGACTATTTCCCTGCATTTCCTATTATGTGGCAGTTGCCAGTATATAGTAATAAAAATCACAAAGAATTTGGCCTAATGCTCACACACATCAACGTTGGTAGATGAAAGATGACAAACGATATTCGTTAATCCATTTTTTACGAGTTTCATCAAGTAAAAGGTTTTGAAAAATATATGTTTTAATCTTTTCTTTCGTGGGAAGGATACTGAACAAGAAAGCCAGTGTGAGGTTTGGTTTCAATAATAATAAATTTTTAAATTTCAGACTATAGTGCTAGCAGTGGTATTAGAACGTGATGGAGTCGTGTAGAAGGTTGCATATGAAAAATAGCAAGTATTGTTGATTGAAAATTCATTGCAAATGTAAAGCAATTTGCCAAACAGCTTGCTGCAGTTCAATAAACAACAGAACCAACGCAATAACTCAATAAAAATACTTGATAAATTCGTGTTTAGTTATTCATATACAAATAAAAAGACACAAAAGGAAGAAAGATAGATGCCAAGAACTGAGCTTTAACAGTAAGGATAGCATGCCATGAAATTCCCAAATCTGTTTCCTACGAAAATCCATATCAGATGATGAAAAGTGTAAGTGGTATAAAAATACAAAACTAAAAAAAATACTGGATAAATTTGTTCATGTGACAAGATTGGCTGCAAGAAGTAATACTCTAAGAAAGTTCTGATGCGCTTCTGATATGGTAGGAATGCTACACTCTACTATTCGTTAGACTTTTCAAAATATCGTGCAACGGCTTTGTCTGCTGCATGATGTAGACATTTTACAAAGTATAAAAATGAGTTTACGGCTTCATCATTTCGTATCGTATATCACACGAGAAAATGTGCTTCATTGCTGAAATCCATCAAATGCTCGACCTATTGGTGGAGGGTCACAAGAAATGACTGCATTTATTTTAAAGATTAAAATTATCGTTGTTTTCTCTCAAGTAAACGCTGGGCTATCTTAGAAACGCTTTAAAAGTTATTTGCACACATACTATAAACGACATAAATATGTAACCTTCTTTATTTCAAAGATAAACTTTTCAAGTTTTGTGTTCGTTCAGTTGGATACCATGCATCACTTGAATATTAGTTCAACGATAGTTTGTTCCTTTTTTACAATAATAATAGCAACAATTTTAAACCTCATCCTAGGACTCTACAAGAAACCTCGTTTGATAAAAAAGTCAGAGGAAAAAGTATCTTAAAAATTAATAAAATAAAATAGATGAGCAATTACAGCTGTCCTTTGGTTTGATTAGTACTACGACAGCCAATCCCAGACCTTCCCCTTTCATAGTAAAATCTTTTAGTTACATTTGATGTTTATTCATATTTTAAAGACATTCCATAAATCCAAAAACTGCTTTTGCGTCGAAAGGTATGATAATTTAAAAATGGCTACACCTTTTCGGAACAGTCTGTATAATATACAATAATGACAAGATGTTTAAACTATTGCTTAACTATCCATTTCATTTATTTTAATAGTTTATTTCGACTTAGTATAACTGTTGACAAAAAGAAATTAGAAGAGTCACACAATTTATGTAGCTGAGTAAATCTGACTTAAATATTATACGTGAACAAGAGATATAAATTATTTCAATACAAACTCAAGGTTTCTCACTTCTGGATAATTGAGCGCAGAATTTTCTAGAATACTTTTCATGCCATCTGTATTTGCTACAAAGTAAAAATTATATTAGAAATTTAGTAATATTCAATAATTTTGTGTAAATACATGATAATAATTTGAGGGCGATTTTAAAAGAATTGGAATAAACAGCAAAAATTACGTGTATATTTCATTTGATGTATTGAAATTTCTATCAATCGTAATATGGTTTCTTTATAGCGAAATAACTTAGTTCCAGAATCAGCCGTTGCCATTTTTTAGCATAAATTGAAAATCATTTTTGCAGATAAGCATTCAGTATCTCATTTATAGGTCTTGTAGCTGTTGTGGTTTCAAAGCACAGCATTTACTTACAACGTTGTGTATTCTTTGCTGACATACTGTGTACGCGACGTTGAAACACTATTTAGTGAATTATGTCTAAATTTTTAAAGTACTATAAAATCAGGAGAAAGGTATATAGAACCATTTATTAACTCAAATAAAGTTTAAAGGTTGGCACTAACTGGTGCTTACAGAAGCCAATAAAAAGAGGTAATGGATAAACTTAAAAAACTGACAACACACTGAATTTTAAATATAGACTCACGGCCTCACAGTTGTAGTATTGCGCAAGCTGGCTGTAGCCAAAGTCAGCGTAAATGGCTTAATGGCAAGTATAACTCAACACAGCAGAAGTCTAAAAATTAAAATGAACCCTGCAACTTCATTTTTAGTTGAAAGTAAAACAGCAGCTAGTTTAAGAAATTGAAAGATTGAATTAGTTTGCTATTAAAGTGTAATATGGGTCAAACAATTAATAAGACAGCACTGGTTATTGAAAAAAGCAGAAAACCTCGTTTTTGATCAAGTCAAGAATCTGTCTCTAATATATCATGGCAACAACAACTCAAATATGACAACTAGTATTTTTATTGATTTCCGTTTCAAATGGGATAGCCACTTGAAAATGAACAACTGAAACGCAGCTGAAAAAAAAATTGTTTGTTTATTAGATAACTGTGTTTATTAATTAACTGTGCAGCACATACACCCTTGATCTCTTTCTGAAAAACATTAGTGTCTTTTCCTGCAAATACAACTTCTAAGATTCAGCCTTTAGACGAAGGTATTATAAAAGCTTTCAAATGTCTCTACAGAAAGGATGTTCAGAGAATAATGAATAGAACTGAGTTTTTGTGAAAATGTTGTCCTTGAAAGAAGATAAGTCGATATATCTGCATGAATACTATAGTATGTAGGATAAAATCTCTTAAAATCAGTTAAAAACTATTTTCGAAAATGTAGCTTTTATGTAGAAGAAGCCTCCGAGGAATTTCAAACCACAGCTACTGTTTCAGACCTGAGTGACGGAAGTTATGAAGATTCATTTTTAGAATGTGTCATCTTCCAAAAATGTTGACATAGATGTGTGTGTAAAAAATGATTCTGAAATTATTAAAGGGACTGTAGCAACTGATAGCGATAGTGATACCGGAAGAAATGATTATATGCCACCATCAATCAAATACAGAGAAGCACTACAAATTCTAAGAAAAATTCTTGAAGCTGCTGATCAAAAACGCTACCAATAGTTTTACAGTGCTGATCAAAAAAGCTACCAGTAGTTTTACAGTACTGATCAAAAAAGCTACCATGAGTTGTGCTGATCAAAAAAGCTGCCAGTAGTTTCACAAAACTAAGAATACAATTAAAATGCTATTGAACAGTATCAAAATAATACAGGTAGAATAGTTGTTTGTAAGAGAGAAAATTCCATCATGAATGTAAAAGAACATTTATAAAGAATTCAAAAATTAATTTCAGAATTACGTAATAGTTTAAATTTAGCATTAGTTTTTAATTATTACTTTAGAATCAGTTAGTAAATTCATTATTAATTATTATTATTTCACTTGAAAACTTTAAAACTGATATCACGATTTTCAACACACAAATCTTCATTTTTTGAAAACGCAGTCGCTTTATGAAATTAAATACGTTTGGAACCGAAGGGGATATAATAAGACCCGGAGACTGTAACTTCATTTGTTTTTTGTGGGATTTCTCTGAAAATATCTAAATGATAGCCTACTTCAATGTACGCTGCAGAATGCCAAGTTCCACAAAGGAAAATTCCTTTAATGTACTGCATGAGCCATTAGGCGCTTATATCAAATTTTCAAAACTTGCGGCAATTCTAGAATGAATATTAATAGCAAACTGTTTCAAGTGATGACAATCTAACACTATTACAAGTATTGTTGCGTGCGTACGGGTTCGTTATGAAATGAATGCACAAGTCCGATGAAAAATGAACAAAAATTTATTATTATCACAACAGAAATGCTTAAATTTTCTCAAATTATCATGCAGTATCACAATATCTCACAGTAGTTATCTTTTAACTACTTAAATGTACAATAGAACGTAATTCAAAACAGCTAAAGAACGCTAATCCGCGAATTCGCTATAATCAACAACGGCAGTTTTCTAAACAACAACAAACTATTCAACAACTACAAACTGAGATGTTTTCCTCCTTTTATAAGATTTTAAAATCACGCACGCGCTAGAATTTTCCAGTACTTTCTCGAAATCAAAAAAAGAGATATTTATTTATTTAATGCACGCGCTCTTGTATTTTCAATTTTCCGGCTTAGCTTTCTTTTAATATTCGTCACGCGCTGCACTGCGCGAGAAATAAAACCATTTAATTTGTAATTGAACTAACATTAGCTTTTTAAATACCAAATTCGTAACACTGCCCCCTTCCCAAGGACTGCACGTCCCGGGCAGTACAATCCCTGGACAGGAAGCTAAACTTACAACTGTGGCATAAATGCAACTGAGGCATAAACATTACATCACAATATCAAACAACATGAACAATAAATGCAATAAATAAAACAAACCAAATGCTATCAAATACAAATCAGATACTAAATGCAAATCAAATACTAAATACAAATCAAATCAAATACACATTTAAAAACAAAAAGGACCATGGTCTTACACTATTTACAATTATTTACATTATGTACTATGGCCATAGTAATGAGCTAACCTGTCGTAATGAACGACTTTAGGTTTAGAGTTCGAAGACTTACGAATCCGAACCATGACGTCATTTAGTCTGTTCAGCACTGTATACGGATCATCCGAAGGTGACTGTAATTTAGGACTCAGTCCTTTTCGTTGAATCGGGTTCCACAACCACACCTTGTTTCCTTTGTTGGATCTATGTCTAGTAGCTCGCGTGTCGTATCTGGTCTTCACTTTCTCCGTCGCCAAGTTGACTCGCTTTCGTGCAGAACGGTGCATCCCCTCAAACCGGGCCTGGACATCTTGGATGTGTTCCTCAGGCGATGAAGGCGCATCCGTAGGGCGACCAAACAGGCGGTCACAAGGCAGACGAAGGTCTCGACCGAAGAGCTTCTGAGATGGAGAATAGCTGGTAGTCTTGCGTTTCTTTTCGACCCTAGCATGATTTCGGCGGCTTCCCGAGCTGGGTCTTTCGGACAAGGCGTCGGCATTTCCAAGTGAGGATCTCTTCTGAGGATGGATAGTCATGTCACCAGATGCTGAAAGCAGTTTGTTGTTTTTGAAGTCTAAGGAAAAATTCTATTTCCTTAAAAAGAACAATCCGAGTATGCATGGATCTGTGATATCCGCCACATAAGCCGTGTGATGGTAGGCGGCACTTCCAAACGTAATGTTTACGTTTAACTTCCCAGTTATGTCGATCTTATCACCAGACGCAGTCTGAAGGGTAACACAGGATGGCGTCCAAATAAGTTTATCTTTAAACTGTTCAGCTAAATCTTTCCTAATGATGGTAACATTAGCTCCTGTGTCAATGATCATATCGCAAGGAACTCCATCGATATTCCCATTAATGGACATTCCGTTACTGTTGCCACTCACTGTATAAATTTTAAGCGCTTTAAAACAAGGTTTTTCATTATCTGGCAACCTCCGTTCCTCGATATGGTCACTAATTTGTTTACTGCGTCGTTGCTGGGAAATGGTCTTATTTTCCGTACCTAGGGATGTTCTGCAATTTCTTCGTATGTGGCCTTCAACTCCGCAGTTCCAGCATTTTAGAATTAGTTTCTTTTCACTTCTGTTCCGTCTCAAGCCACTGACTTGTCTGGTAAAATCATCTGCTTTATATTCCGTACCCTGGGTGTTCTGCAATTCCGTCTTAGGTGACCTTCACTACCACATCTCCAACACCTTAGAGCCACTTTCTTCTCGCTCCTACTCCGTATCAAAGCGTCGACTTGTCTGGCTAAATCATCTAAACGAGCCATCAGTTGATTCACTGGCTCATGGACTCGCACAGCTCTAACTGGGTAGCGATCTCTACTAGTTGCTTGCTGGGCCCTCGAACTTCATGGCGTACAACAGAGCGCTTTTTATGTCCTTTACATCTGCCATTCGAAGAGCTTTCTGTATTTCAGGATCCCGGATGCCGTCGATGAAATATTGCAGCGACAGGATTTCTCTTGTTTCTGTCGGGCACTCCGAAAAGGCGAGGTGGGACAGCCTTTCAACATCCGTGGCGAGTTTCTGGAGTGATTCGGTGGGCTTCTGTTGACGAGATTTTAATTGAAGCCTGCTGTAGTCTTTTAAACACTTCTCCCCAAAGCGCAGCTCCAAGGCGCCGGACAGAGCTTCGAAATCTAACCTTTCGTTTTCGGGAAGAGTCTGAAGGATATCCGCTGCGTCGGCTCTTAAAGAAGCGGCGAGATGACAGGCCTTAGCTTGGGAATCCCATCCATTCGCATCCGCAACGATAGAAAATTGTGTCCTATACACCTGCCAGGAGGTCTTCCCATCATATGTAGATAGTTTCAGAACGGAACGAGCAGGCATCGATAAAAATTTGAAACCTTCAGAATTGTTTCCTACCGTCGCTATGCACTTCTTTAGAGGCTGTCAACTTCTTTGGCGACGGCAGCAGAAACCCTATCGTCAATTTGTTGTTCGACGGCAGAAACTCTCTCTTCTATATGTTCTTTACAGAAGAAATTCCTTCTTCTACTTGTTCTTTTACCGAAGAA